TCCTGCATCACATTTCATGAAATCCATGGAATAAAGCGGATAGACATTGCTGCGAAAAAGAAAGAAAAGTAATATTGCACCTAAAATATTTATGAAGAACAAAAGATTCACTGAAAATCATCAAACTTCTGCAGTTAAATAGGAGAACTCTAATTTGATGTTCTATCCCCAGCAAACATAAGTAACTGCCATTTCGAATTTTCAACTGCATTATATCAAGTCAAACAAAAAACCATATACAGCTGGTTCAACAATAGTAAAATCACCAACAAAAAACACCAAAGTGGCCAAAAATAATGCAATAGTAAAAAAGTCTTACAGTTCAGGTGTCAATATCAATCAAAAATTTATAGGCTCCGACATAAGTAAGAAGCATCTATACTATTAATAAAGGGAGAGGAGAGGGTTTGGTATTACACTCCTAAGATCCCTATAATACCATTTACTAGCAGTCCCACCCTCTAAGATGCATGGAATTATAATTTGTCTACTACTTTTTTGATTTATTTTTTCTTTCATTCTATCACTTGAGAAATTAGATAAAAAACTATAGAAATTTTTTGGGTGATAAAAGTAATTTTTTTTAATACATTTGACAAAAATAGTGGTTAGTTATGGAGGAGTTGAGGGCTGGTTACAAATAACACGTGGTAGAATTTGATTGGAGCAAAGCTTAGGTTTTGAATTAAAAATTCAAAATTCTAAGAATTTAGGAAATGGGAGAGAAGGCTTCCCAAGTCACCTCCTATCTAATTTGTTTATTATATGAAAAATGCTATATAACTCAAATAAAATCCAAAAGTTAAAACTCAAATGCATTTCCAGGATGAGTGGGCCCACTGAAAAAATTGGTGGGACCCACTAATCCGAGAGATGATATTCATTTGAGTTGTAATTCTTTTGGTTTCATTTGGGTTTATAGCATTGCTCTTATTATATATAGATAGAGAGATTTTTTCTCAAATAAAGTGCATATAGCTCCTTCTTTAACTCCACTCAACTGCCTCCACCTATGAAATATTGATAATGCCCTTCATTTCTTCCATATAACCACTCAACTCCCTATTTCACTTTATTCAACAGCTTAATTCTCGCAAATCATAGAAAATTCACCAACAACATTTCTTATAATGCCAAAGTTAACAAGCCCTCAAATTGTTTGACCAGTGAGATAAATTCCAACAATGCCAACATTCATGCCCAATTCCATACCAAAAACTATTTGAAGCCCACAACAAAAAACTAGAGGGAAAAAAAATGCATTAACAAATTGACAAAACCATGGTTACCACAATTCACTAAATTTTTAACGACCCACGACTTAGGTACATCGATCTAAAACGTGGTGGGTTCGCGATCTAGATCACCAAAATTGACGACCCCAAATTGCAATCCTAACCCTAAATCAATTCGCTTCAAAACACACAACATTATTTAAAATACATATTAATTGACTATATGTATATAGATTTATAATTATATATTGTTTTAGATAATAGAAAATCAAGCACAATTATAAGATAAATGATAACTAACTTAGTGTTTATGAATATTTTGTAATATATAATGTTGTATAGCAGTGAAAACAATCTACATAACAGTTTTAAAACGAATTGTAACCCAAAATACCGTACCAGCTAAACCTACACTCATCGTATCACATACTTAAGAAAGTTTCGTACCATATACCTATACCTGCATCACCTACCAAAGCGAGCCATGATTCAGGTAACATTGGACAAAACAGGACAAATGAAATTGGTTGAACCCATATTGAATTGGAGAAAATTTAGAACTTACAGAAGGTGTAGACTGTTGTGGGGAGGCATCAACTTCACCCCCTCCATTAATGCAGAAACTTGGGAGGACTGTAGTACGGGCAAACCATGATTTGGGTTTAAGTCTACACCGCAGATGATGATTGTGGGAGGTAAAATAACAAGTTTGTGGCTTATTCGTGGTTCTAACTGTAAAAACTTCCACATGGATTCGCAAAAATTGGTGTTGCAGATTGGGTGGTTTGAATTTGAACTGGGTAGGAATTGTTAAGGCCATAATATGCTGACCCTAAACAATTCTAACAAGAATAGAAGAGAACTACGGACAGTTTGAGGCTTTTGTTTATAGTTTTTTGGGGGTTTCTATAGGAAAAGATACTTGGGTTTTTCAACTGTTTTGCCTCTTGTGCAGCGTTGGGTGATGAAGTCTGCTAAAATCTAGAAGAGAGACACTGGTCCAGTGGGGCGTATGGTGGTGCACTGCACCCTCACCTTGGGTGGTGGAGATGTGGGGCCCTTCCAGTAGAAAGATTTTCTTCTGAAATTTTTGGGTCACACCTTATTTATGCACTAATTATGTGATGAATTGAAAATAAGATAAATATCAATTAAATCCCGAGGATGCCCAATTGGAGAAAGAGATTGAAGTGTAAACCCACTGGTCTTGAATCCGAAATTTGACAATTTTTTTTAGTGGCGTGAATGATATACTTTTAATTAGATCGAGCAATGAATTAGTCGATGTAAGAATAAAGTCGTTTATATAACATTGACTGTAATATAAATAATATAATATATATATATATGTGTATATAAATTAGAAAATGAAAGAAAAACTACTAAATTCCAATTTCCATATTGTTGTTAAATTGAAAAGTTATTCCCGCATTGCATAAAAATATTTCACATATGAAGTTATGAGGTGCAAAACTTAGATACGAATTTGAATTCAAGTATCACATTTGAATTTAATTTAAAATTTTGATAAATTTTATTTTTGCAAATCATATTTGAAATCTTTAAAAGTTAAAAAATCAAACTTGAAAAACTCAATTTGAGTTAAAATAAGAATTCTAAATTTAATAGTATCAACTAATCACTCAATGTCATTATATACTTAGATATCTATATTGTTCAAATTGAATTGTAATTAGATTACAATATTAAAATATTTTAATTATGATATAATTTAAATTCAAATAATTGAAGCTTGAAAAATCAAACTCATATTTATATATGATTTGACTCACATCGAATCAATTTAAAAAGTATATGATTCCAACAAACGTATTCGAGAGCGAATGCGATGATCAGCTATTATTTTTTTAGTGCAATTTAGTCGAATTTGAGCCTAAACTTAAGTAAATTCAAAAACACATATCCCATGATATTTTTTTTGTTTCGAATAGAATGTCTAATGATGTTGAAACCCATAATAGAGTACCTTGTTTAAAAGTCAATGACCTTATACATTAAGCTAAGAGTGTTAATTTATTATTTTATCGCATGAAAAATATTATTTTAAATGAGTTAAGCTCGAGTGTCCTGAATGATTTCGATACTTGAATGATTTCGATACTAACCTTTCATGTTTATTCTTAGTCATTAACTTCAGAAAATTCCAACTAAATTCATGTATAGTAGGGGTGTCAAACATGTCAGATTAAACGGTTACGTGTCGGATTAAATGGGTGACGAACACGATATGTTTAATAAATGGGTAACACAACACGATTCGTTTAACCCATTTAATTTTTTTAAAAAAATTATCAACAAATTTTAATATACCATTTTTTTTATTACTAATTGTATTTACCTCAAAAAAGAAATTTCTAATCAAATTTCACATAAAAATCATATTTAAAGGTTAAAAAGAAGACAAGAAGTCACTATGTTTTATAGGTAAGATAGTCCTCCCCATCTTCTCTCATTTGTCGACGTGGGAAAACAAAAGGGGTTAATTTGTCTTTGTCATGAACTGCTCTTATATCTCCTCTTTTTTTTTTCAACTACTACTTAATTTTTTTTGTATTGATTTCTTTATTTTTTTTTTTGGCTAATTTTTTAAAATAATTATTAATTTATTATTATATTAATTTTATTTAAAATATCTTATCCAAACCCATTTAATTTGTATCGATTTATACTGGTTAATAGTGTTGTGTCAAATTTTAACAAACCTAATGCATGAATACCCTTGGCTGTTAATGGAAGACCCTTCGCAGTTGGAGGTTCATTGCTGAAATATCCTTATGACAAGTCACATACACTCTAGGGCTACGGGTCATCTATAACATAGTTAATGTTGATTAAAACAACATTATTTTAATTCAAAATAATTCAAAACAATGTCATTTTATTAAAAAGAATGACACCGTTTTAATTCAAAACAATGTCGTTTTGATCAACAATGCCAGACCCTATAGTGCATTATTCACGCAACAAAGCCAGACCCTATAGTGCATTATTCACGCAATTTTAAGCAGTAAAGTTTTTCTGTAATCAACTGAAAACTGTCCACAAATAATGAAATCAGACATCGTCGTTTAAATAGAATGGCATCATTTAAGTAATACTATTAGAAGATGGAATAAGTCCCAACAAGAAGAAAAAAACAATACATAAACAAACGTTACTTAAAAAGATATTTAAAGAACAGAAGTATACTTTAAAAACGTTACCAAACAGTTCAACATTACACCAAAACTCCTTGAGGTTTGTCATTAAATTACATACCAAAAGATCAACATTTTTCCAGACGATATCCGAAATAACGTACAATTGAAGAGCATGAAGTGTAAAAATAATAAGAACCAATGTTGCTATGCTTATCAAAATTCATTGTGGATTACAACCACATCCCTAATGAAATACAATCATATCCATTTTTGTATTATCCTCATCTCGCAGACACTGAAAACGTTAGAGCTGAACAAGAAGCTCTACCCCCAGAAAAAGCTGGGACAAAAAAAAAAAAAACAGGGCAGTCAAGTCGGTCCTAATTGTTTAGAACCAAGTTGATCATTGGACACACTAACGATTTTGAACTATTTCTAGTTTCAGTATCCCAACGGGACTTCCTAGAATTACACAAGACATACACCTCTCTCTGCTACTTTATTATGGGCATTTGATTGCTTTTGCCCCGCTGATTATCATTACAAACCAATGTCCAGGTCTGACATCATCTGACTGGAGATTTGGTTTTCAAACACATGCTGCTTAGGACGACTGGTGGGCGCTGAACAGAACAGAAAATTTGTTCCAATCCCAAGATTCCATGCTCGGGGACACGAGAGTAGCCCCAACAGCCAGTGCAATGATGACAAAAGCCATGCTTTTCACACATCCATGCCCACGTGATAGCTTTCCCAATATCACCTTGCTATGCTTGTCTGCCTCCTTGAAAAGTGCCAGACGAGCAGCATCCTCTTCATCACCAGCCAATGCTTCCACATTCTGTACACGGTGATAAAGGATCAAATAAAAAAACCTGAAAATTTTCCAGTTAAAACAACTCTCCAAAATATAACACTACCATAACTTTCTAGTGCACACATGCATGGACTTGTGTGCCCAGATACAGCTGAAAGTTACTCGTTGTTAAATGTCCAGAGAAAGTTAAAGTAAATTAACACACTACCTTGTGCCTGAAACTCTTTAGAGTTTGCCCCAGAGCCTCCAGAGAAGAATGTTTTACAGATAGCTCCTTCCATTCCTTATTAAGTTTTCTCAGAAACACAGTACTGACTTCTAAATTGTCAATATAAATCTTGTCCTGTTAAAACCAAATTTAGGGAACAAAAGATGAGCCTTTTATAATGACCTCTCCATGAAACGATAAAAGACAATGTCACAAGAATGCAAAGTGGATATGAATGAAAACAGCTCACCCACTGCTTATAGCAATCAGGGTTTTGAGTCAAGCACCAGATAAAAATGCTAGTTGCTTCCCGCGATAGCTCAGGGATGCCTGCAAAAATTGCTACATCTCAAACTCAATTCTATGACTTTCATGTTTCAAGACAATTTCAAGGAAACAAAACGTAGAATAGATATTACAGTCACTTCTTCAGATTACCTTCACCAGCTGCTTTCATGGCAAAGGTCAGTATCTGTTGCGAAACTTGCTTCATGGCTTTGCTTCCAGGGGAACCAGCAAGAGCCACCTCTTTAAGGGTGGGATATATTGCCTCAAACCTTTCTGTTGCCTGCACAACATACCACACTAGAAGGGTAAGCAAAGAATTTATACTGTCATGTATTTAAAAACAGAAACTTCATTCACAGAACACAACAGGTGCTTCCTGACTATTCCCACCTTGACCCGAGCTGAAGATGCAGGAAAGGTCACACGTAAAAGCAGGTCGAGTGCCAAAGGTGGCATCAAACGTTCTCCCTTCCTAACAGCACCATTTACTAAAATAGTGCGAGCCTTAGGGGCAGATAGAATTCTGGAAAAAAAAAAAAAAACAACTTTTAAATTCATACTAGACATCAAAACAAGATCAAACAAATAATGGGAAAAATAAATCTTTTCAAACCTTTCCACTAACTGTAAAACCAAATCTCTGGATTGTGGATTAGAACCTAATTTGCCTCCAACTATAGGCAAAATGTAGTGAGCCCATAAGTACAACCCCACAGCCAGATCTCCTTCACATGCCTACACATGAAAGAATTCA